GAAAATAAGTTAGAAAAGGAGAAGTAAACCAGTTTCAATGATGCTGTATCACAAAGCTGTTAGGAAATATTTTTTCAGTTGGAGCTATGCTGTTGTGAACTAGCACTTTCTTTCTTTGAGGTTAAGAAATTTGAAAGAAAAGATCACATCAACCTAGCTGTTAGAGAAGTGCAAAACAGTATCAGATTGAATTAGAATGTACACAGATAATATAGCACACTTCATTCTAGATAAATAATGAAAATTAGTGGAAATAAGTATGAATCTGAGAAGTTGTTCAGAAATAAGTGAACTATTTAAAACTAAATATCAGCATGAGTGCTTCTGCTAGGCAGGGAAATAAGTTCTTTTTCCAGTTATCTCACCATTGCTTTTCTAATTCTTCATTACCTTCTAAATGGCTTAGATTAAGGTTCAGAACATCCTAAATTAATAATGATAGCAAAAGATGTGTCTTACAGAACACTTACAGATCTAAAGGTGTGCTATTTCTAGCTTTAAAATATTTAGAATGCTAATCCCATATAAAGATAATAATGGATGTCTATAATTTTGAAGAGTGATGTAAACTGTATAATCAATAAGAAGATATTTGTAATAAATTTGTTTAACAACTGAGTGAAAAATATGTTGAGTTCACCTGTATGTTACATTTGTGTTTTTTTTGGTTTTGTAGAATGTTGGGAGTTAAATTCATTTATATGCAGGTGACAGGTTATGTATTCCTGTTATTGATTTCATATTTATATCTTGTTGTACGGTTCCTGATTCTTGTCTCTTTAATGGCTTTGATGGAAACAAGGCTCTTTATTGCTGTTACTGTATGTAATACCTCGGAACACAGGATTGGGAGAAACTGGTGGTTTTACAATGCCAGTCCACTTTGATAAAGTGTCCAAGATGAAATGAATACACTTCTGAGACTGTCACCTGGGGACCAGGGAAACTGTTACAGTAAGTGTGTTTAGGGATTGCCTGGGAAGCAACTACCATGTATGCAACTAGTGTTTCTTGAACAGCAGTAGTATTCATTTTTGCAGGTTAATGGACAAGACACTTGGCTAATTGTAACTATTTTTCTTCACAACTTTAAACATTTGAGTTATCTGTCCAAAAATGGATTAGTGCTTATGCTTTAAGGATTGCAAAGAGGAAGTAGAAGGTATGGAAGGAGTAAAGTTAAGATGGAGTAAATATGTGAAAGCAAAGCAAGCTGGGAAAAATGTAAAAAACTTAAAGATTTTGGCTAAGAGGTAGTTCCAAAAGCTAAAGAGGCTTTAAGTCCATTTTTTGTTTTGAATCCTTACTACATGTAGAAATATCATATAGACAGTGTGCTTGTTGATAGAAAAGGGGTTGAATGCTCTGTTTATTTTTGTTTTGTTTTGTTATTTAGAGTCAGATCAGAGGAAATGTTATCATCTTAGCTTTTTTGCTTTGGTTTAGGATGTATGTGTATAAGTTTTGGTAGTGGCAGTGTGGGGCTGCAGAGTGGCCTCTGTGAGGAGAGGCTGAGTCTCTCCTGTGTCCTCTGCTTTCACAGAGCAAATTGCGGCCAATTCCATCCATCTTCAGCCGACTCACCACAGGGCACAAACTTTACACTGAAGACATACTTTCACCTCTGTGTCAAGGTCCAGCTGAATGCATTATAGTTCCCAGCAAATGTATGCAACACATTTTTTACTTCTTTTCTTAGTCTTATAATCTTGAAATATCAAAACCTTTCACTGATATGCCGACAAATATATAAGTAAGAGTTTTGTAACTAATATTTCAGTAGACTTAATGATGTATATGAAAAGTTTTCAAAACTATTTGAATTCCTATATCACAGCCTAATATAAAAACATTTACTCTGTTTTGTTTTGTTTTTTTTTTTTTTAATACAGCTATCATCCAATACATATAATGGAATAAGTCTGTTCTACATTGTAAAAATCAATATTCAAAGAAAACATGGCAACAATAATTAAGGGGAATAAATGTGTATCTGCACTTAATCTCATTCTCCTACTTTGGGGCCTTGACAAATTTTGGTAGCCTGATAGCATTCTCACTCCTTTCTGATTATATTCTTTTCATAAAAAGCATATCAATAATTAAACCATTAACTAAAAAAGGTCTCTCTTCCCTTCCTGGTAGATTCTGATATCTGCCCATGTGTAGCCACTAAAGTATAGACAGCCATTTAAAACTCATAAAGGAAGTTTTGATGAGATGACTTTGGCTGGCAGCTGGACACACACTCAGCCACTCCTACAGTCCTTCTTAGCAGACCAGCGGGAGAACGTGAAATGGAAAATCTCATGGCTAAAGATAAGAACAGGGAGATGACTCACCCATTACCATCATGGGCAAAACAGACTCAACTTAGGAAAAACTGTTTTATTCCCACTTCAAATACAGTGGAATTGTGTGAAACAAAACCAAAATGATAAAAAACCTTCTCCCCGGCCCCTTTTTCTCATTCTTGTGATTGTGACACTTCACCAGTAATAGTGGCAAATATGAAAAGTTTTCAAGACCGTTTTAACTGTATCTGTGTCCTGTCAAGAACATGCTAATAGGAAGATTCCTTCACTGCTTTATTTCCAGCTCCTCAAGGGACAGGGGTAGTGGTCAGTCCACAACAGCTCCTCTCTGCTGCTTCTTCCTTCTCACACTTGTTTCCTACAGGTCACTGCAGTTGCTCTGTTGGTATTGATTAACCAAGAACACTCAGTACTGATTCACTTTGCTGCTGTACTTAAGAATTATGGATGACTGAGATTTGGTACCTCATCTATTGCCTGTGGTGGCATCCAGTATTTCATCATACAAGCATTGGCTACTAATACCTTTTTAATACTCTCTGCTTTGTTTTGAAGCAAGTGGACTTAAAGTCATAGTTTGTGTTTCAGAGACACTGTTCACACTAATATAATAGTAAGTATATTGTTATTTTGCTGGCAAGTACTTTTTTTTAAAAGGTTTATAAGTTAGTCGTTAACACAGCATCTAAGGAAATTTAGTGTTCGTATCTTGAATGTTGCAATAGAATATTCTTCCCAAGAAAAAGGGCAACATGTTCATTAATGATTTTGAAACCTGCTAAATCATTATTAAAATTTTTATCTCAAGATCTAAGACTGTGCCATATAATGAAGATAACAGATAAAAAGGCTAGACTTGCTTAACTTGCATTTCAAGAAATAATATCAACATCCAGTTACAAAATGAGCATCTGGGATTCATTCTTTTCTCCTGACTTACTCTATAGTTTGCTTGCTACTGTCGGATCCTCAGCAGGTATAAACTGTCATAGCTCTGACATCAGCAGATCTATTAAAGCTTAGAGTAGTGAAGATATGCTGCTGATTATGTGCTCTGCTGTGCTTTTCCTGTCTCACAGACAATGGGCAGGAACTGCTAAGCCTTCCATCTCAGTTCAGACTAGCCCTCCTGGCAGTATTCTTTTTTGGTAATGCTTTCTTATTAAATATCCATTATGTATGCATAGCTTCTAGCATTTCACACGTCTTTTTTTTTTATTATTTTTTTTTAAACTATCACTGAGAAATAATCTGAAACACTTTATAATTCACATGTTGAGTAAACAGCACTGGTACACCAGTATTCCTCAGGGTGAGTCAGTAGTAAGCACAACTGAAAAACTGAATTGGGAATTTTATATGTAGAATTCAAAAATGCCATATAGTTGTAGCAAAAAAACCTCTGATTTTGTGTGCCTTAATTCCAGATTTGTTTTTTTTTTCCTGTGTTTTTGTGAGTAACCTTGTTTTTACTGCTTTGCTCTGTCCAGATGCTGAAAAACAATTTCATATTTACTGACTCATGACAATGCCTGTTAACTTCTGCATAATCTAGATCTGATGATAAAAATGGCTTAGAAAACAAGTGAAGATGACCTTTGGGCTATCTGTTTAGTCCTTAGCGGCTATCTGCTTGAATCACAGAGCCATAATACCAGATAACTCCTGTCAGGCCCTGCACAGGAGAGGTCCAGATCAAGAATAGCAGGGGTGTTATAGATCAGGACTGAAATGCATTCACAGAGCTCTGCAGGGAAGTTTGTATAGCATCTGCTAGTACCACGATGGTCATTTTTAACCACTGCTACCAGTCCCTTACTTGAATAAATACAGTAGAAATTCACTCCAAGCCTCAGAAAACCTTTGTCAATCCATCAAAGAGAAGAGAAACTTAAATCCAACAGCAAAATTGATTTCAGAAACAGAAGCAGAGATGCTTAGGGAAAGGAGGTAAAAAAAAGTAAACCTATGAATTGAACATGCTGTCTATAGCTGTTGTAGGGAGCCCCCGGTGGTCTAGGGGAAAAGACACTGCACTGTCACTGCAGAGACCCGGGTTCGATTCCCGGTCGGGGCCCCTCCCCGGGCAGATGGAGCTCGTTAGCCCTGTAAGGCAATCCATCTACATCCTGAGGACCTCGCTGCCACCGTCCAAGCATGCTTGGCCCCGGCAGATGAACCTCAGGATTAAAGGGTGGGCTCAGTTCCGCGCACACT